TCCCAGCCGAGGAGGTGAAGGCGGGTTCCCACAAGCCCCGGGTGGGAGGTGATGGTGGCAGGCGCATCCCCTCCGACACCCTTCGGATCAGCACTCCTCGTCGCCCTCCTGCCAGTAACGCTTCTCTCCTCGAAATTTGGAGACGGCTCGAAGGCGGCCGGGGACAAAAAACGTCACTGAACACCTTTTTCGGTGAGGTGCGGATCTGCCGCGGAGCCTCCACCGCCCAGCTGCTCCGGCCCTGCCCCCAGCCCGCGGGCGTGCTGCGAGGGGAGAGACACCTGGGAAAGAGACCTCTCTCACCCGTGCCTTTCCTCGGCACGTTTCCGCGGTTTGAAACCGGCACCCAGTGACCTGGCTGATGAGCATCAGGTGGGATCTGTAGCTGCTCGATGGACTTTGGTACTGGCTGTCCAGCTTCTCTGGGAAACAGCAGACAGCACCCAAACAGCCCGTGAGAACAACAGAGGAGGCAAAGAGGCAATGCCTTCTGCCCAGAAATTATCACTGATACTAAACTTACTTGTTTTTCAGAGCAGTCTCATTCTCTCTTGCTACCTCTTACTACACTGACCAGCCAAAGCACACACAAGCTTTCCCCTGTACCTGCTCTGCTTTCCCTCCATCCCTCAGCTAAAGAGAATGGCTTTTCCAGTTAGAGCTAAGGGATACTGTGGAAGTAGGGCCATCAAGGCAGGACAGCCAGGCCACTCCTCTAGGCTAGACCACCCCTTTGGGCCAGGCCTGACAAGCGACAACAACACAGGACTGGGGCAAAGGACTAAAGTGGAAGAAAGGCCAGACCTGAATTAGTAGCACCAGAGGGAACTGTTTATCACCTCCAATCATAGGCAACCCTTGAATCCCCACAAGTTACCTTGGAGCTCTTTTCTTGTCATCTGAACTTGGCAGGGAAGATGGGAAAACCCTAAGTCTATTCACGTCTTGTGCCACAAGCAGCAGGAAAGGAGTGCCATCTTCACACTTTGTGAAACATCTACCATAACCACAGGAGAAAAGAGGTGTGCAAAGACTGTTTCTCAAGCCTACAGCTGATGGGAGTCAGAGGCAGGATTTGGATGCTGTGCAAGAATTAGGATCAGGCTTAGTTGGCTTAAACTGCCTTTAAATGACATTATTTGGTGAAGGAAAGAGTTGTGAAATATGGCAAGGGGAAGGAAGGAAGACACAAATTAGCACAACTTGCATTGTGTATACAAGCTATGCATTGCCCTCCTCTTTTTAAAGACAGTCTAAACACAAGGAAGCAATAGCAAGTAGAACCAGGCTCTCACAAGGCTTTCAGGGAATCATGGAGAAGCATGTAATTTGCCAGACTGTGTGTAGGTAAAACTGACTACAACAAAGGGAAAACCTGACCCTGGCATCCTTGCTCTTAGATGTAACTCAATAGATTTCACTGGCAACGAACTGAGGCCGGCAGCCATCTCACTCTCCTGTGTTACCAATACTATTGGAGAGTGTTCTCCTCTGTTACAAGCTGCAAGTTGCCTCGTATTTAGTACAGTAAGTATTATGAGTAAAAAATTCATGAGCTATTTAATATCAGTAGCCACCACAGATCTCATCTCTACAGCACTTGGAAACATCTATTGTCTCAATCAAAATTGCAACAGTTAAGTTTGAGATCATGTGTATTCCAATTCTATGTTACCACATAAACCAAGTAAGTCTCGTAAAAAATGAACAGCAATGAACTCCTGCATAGGCCCTATTATTCAGAGAGCAGGGTAAGTGCAGCAGAAGATTAAGTTAGCACAGCACTGACAGAATGCACCCTAGAAAACTGAAACTCCATGTCTGGCCAACAAATGTATAGCTGAAGAAACCCCATTCATTATCTATTAACTTTAATTTTTAAATTGATATTGCACAGACCACTCTGCCAAACTTTAACCCAAAGGGAATACAATCTACGTTAACCAAATCAAAGGCAGAATTTAGAGTGTGGTAGTTGTTTTAAAGGCACTTCATTAAAAGAAAAAACCCCTCCAAAACAACAGCCAAAACAAAACAAAGCCCAGCCAAACAAAAAAAGACTTAGATAGAAGAATTCAGGTCTGTTTCAGCTTTGCAACTTGTGAAACATAAAATGCTCCTACTTACAGCACTGGTTGTAATCACAATCTGCTCACTGCAGCTGCAGCTGAGATCTGAGACTAGGAGAGGGCTGGGAAATCAAGTAATTATTGATAAGTACAGTAAGTTTCTTGCCACAATGTAGGACTTTGCTGGCCTGGAGCTGGGAGGCTGTAGGTGACCATCTACGTGCTCCCATGACTGTTCCAAGTGAAACGCCAGTACTTGGCCCAAAATGCCTCACTGTCCCTGAATAAGATATGAAGTTTATGACTTTGATCTTCAGCATTTCTTTTTAACCTTAGGCTTGGCTCTTCTATCCATTCAAGTTGCATGACATGTAAAATAAAAACGTCTGTATTGAAGAGCAAACCTGTAAGCAGTGTTCCTGTCCAGAGGACTAGAAAGCAGCATGAAAAAAACCCCCGTTTTCCTTTATTTCAGTTTGATTTCAGGTGCGATGCCTGTTGTATTCATTTTTCCATCACTGAAAATTACTTGTGTAACACTAGTATAAGGAATTATAAAACAAAGGCCATAAATGCACCTCCCACAAAGCCCACAATGAAACCAAACAATGGCCTTAACACTTACTGCATATTTGAGATTGCTTTGCAATACAAGTAAGTTTGAAGAAAGTATTAAAGATGTATTTGAAAAGCCCTTGCCTCTTCTCCCAAAGAGTTAAATCCAGGCAGCATTTTTTGACTTTATAGTAAAACTAGTTAAATCAAGTAGCAGCTCTAGTTCAGATGGTTTTGCCAGCCCCCTCATTCCTGAAAAAAATATGTTAAAATTGAATAATTAGACTTTTCTGCAAAGATTACAATTCAGGTGGTATACTGAAGGCAGTATAGGAAAGTATAGTGCCATCCTGCCTGTCATCAGGAAAGAGTCTTTGCATGGACAGCTTGAATGACCAGTTTTTGGTTATGCTGTTTCTCAAAAAAAGAATGAACATACCAACTGCAGGAAAGCATGCACACATTATAGTGTGAAATGTAGTTCTTGTTCAAACCACTTACAGGACTTAACTTTACAAAAGATGAGCCAGTCTATTGAATTTTTCCAAGGGGCTACCCCTCTTTTCAAAGGAATGAAAGGCAGCATATGGAATTTTTGTATCATAGGTATTGATGAAGCAAGGCTGTCTGTAACAAATGCTATCGGAGGCCGATATAGAAAGAAAAACCTCCATCTTACAATTAAATATGCCCCTAAAAAAACCCCAACAACTTAAACACAATAATGCAAAGAAACCAATTTTGCTTTGCTGCTTAATTAGGTCTCCTGCCTGTAGTAGGCCACCACATTATGTTGACCTATGCAATACTTTATGGAAGAGTCACCTCCAGAGAGGCCGAAAGCCATTTCCATCAACCGTATCGATGCTGACACTAGAATGGTAAGACATCTAACAAGGAGGAGGAGGGGAGATTTGAATTTATTTTTTTTTTTTGTGGATAAGCTCACATTTATGTTTTACAAAACTTAGATAAAAGTTTCCCTATTCTCTTTTTGCTAATTCAATATTTGAGGCAACATCAAGGATTACAGTGCTTATAACATGTTTTATTCAATTCACATAGAAAAGCATGCAGTATTAATGTAAAATGGTACAGTATTAATGTAAAATGTTCAGTGCACATTAGGTAAACAAGTCATTAGCATACAAACCCATTTTTATGGTCTATACTGGCATACTGAACACATTTAGAATAACAATGATTTCGGGGAACTAAATTAAAAATTGTGCTTAACTTCAAAAAATCCAAGCCACGTTTGCCGTGCTGAAGTAGAGATGTCTTCTAATTGAAGTGCTGTAACCCTGAAAAGAAAGAGGCTGCTACCTTACACCCACTTAAAAAAAGAGTTTCAGTACAGTACAGTGCTATGAAACAGTCCAAGCAGCAACATTTCCTCTGGAGAAAAGTTTTATGGCAAAACTGACACTGTTTTATGGCAATTTCATGAAGTCACAGGATATATAGCCAGTAGCTGCCTTACATGCACAAAATGTCATCTTTAGGAATGGGAAATGTAACCTTTAAAACAAATTCTTACATAAGCAATTGATTTGACAAGTACACTTAAAGCTCCTGTTCAAGGGAGCCATTAGCTTTGATCACCATTGAAAGATCATGTAACTTGAAAAAAACCCACCACCCAAAACACACAAGTAAACAAAATACCCGGTCAAAGAAAAGAATCTGTCATGGTTCTTCCCTAGGAAAGAGCTCCTAAAGGGCAAGGGAATGTTCAGTTTTCACACCGATGAAAAAAATAGATTGCATGGAAGTCATTAAAAATTAGGTTCACCTGTAGATATTAAACATTTGCAGGTTGAAGACTCTGAGTCATGTTTGATTTCCAAGCAGTCAGTTTTTGGTGGTTTTTGATGGACTAGCACTGGAGACACTGCTTTGACTTTTCCTCTTGGTTGACTGACTGGTATTTTTATTTTTCCGTTCAGATATAAAGGAAGATGCCCAAGGAGGATTAAGCTGATTGTGCAGGTCAGATGACATCTTCAAAAAGCAGGAACCAAACTTCTGTTCCTCAAACAACCTTTGTGAGTTACTGAACAGCAAACTCTGGGAAAAGTCTCTTTGAAATAAACAGTTTTGAGGTTTGCCATCACTAGCCACTACGTTCTGGCCTGTAAACGATGGAAAGTGGTCATTCATATCTAGTTCAGATGGAGAGAGGTTGGAAAACATAGCAGATTTCCAGGCAGCTCTGTCAACTGCTAGTTCACTTGTCTCTGGACACTTCATACTCTGTTCCTCATTCATTTCTTCCAGCTTCTTCTCTGTTTCATTCAGAAGCTTAGAGCACTCTGTTGACTTTGAAGCATTATCAAGATCAGAGGACTTGAAATTGTAGCATGGGCTCTTGCTATTGTCTGATTCAGACATCATCGAGTCCAATTCAGAAATTTTATCGAGGTAGGCAGCATCCATAGACGCCTCACTGGAGGTTCTTGTGCGATTCATTTCAGAAAAGCAGAGAGTATGCAACCTTTTAGGTAAGCAAGAACTTGTTTTATCACTGGACTTTGCTGATGTCTGACCAGTTACTGAGTTTTGCTCTGAGTCATCAAAATCTAAGTTCTCAGCAAAATTGGTTGGGCAGGTGCCCCAAAAACCTGATTTTCCTGTAGCAAAACAGTTCAGCTTCTTTTCGCTATTACAGCTGCTTGTGCTGTGCTCTGCAGAATCTTTGCTGCAATCATCTGAAGTGTCACAAAACTCTTCAAATTTCAGTTTTCTCAGGAATGTTGATGGTTTCCTTGTATTTTCTTTTCCATCGGGAGTGTTCAACCGAAGGCGACTGAGAGACAGAAAAGGAGTGCACGGTGGTGGAAGATCATAAAGTTCTTCACCCTTATATGGGGTACATTCCTCAATTTTATTCCACTGCTCTTCTAAGCAGGCATCCATATTTGTAGTATTTTCATCCATCAGAACCCCCTGACATCCTGGAAATAGCTCTTTCTTTGGGGCACACGGTGTATTTGAGCCATTTGAACCATCTTGACTAGAAGAGCTTAAACAAGTTCCACCACTTGTCAGTTGTTCAAGGCTGTGAGGACTTTGAGTGGTAGTCAAAGCTTTCTTCTCCTCAACTTGTGTTTTCAAACATGTATCTTCACTGCTCTCAGCTCCTTTAGCATCCGTGGAGAGCACTCTCTCACTAACAGCACTTGCTGTCTGGGTTCCTTCGCTTGCATTTTTCAGCTGTAAAAGCTGACACTCCATTTCTTCTATGTATTTATCACTTCTTTCTAGTGCCTTTTTTAGACGGTTCATCTCACGTTCACTTTGTTCTACTTTGGACTGAAGTGCAGCTACTGTAAACCTACCAAACCTGCCAGAAGTCAAAAAGAAAGAAAATATTAAGCTGGAAAAAGACGTAATTGTGATGCTTTGCAAGCTCATTTCAAGAAAGAACAAAGATAGTAAACATTGTGTTAATGTTAACAAATTAACATTGTGTTAATTTGAAAACAACAGTCAAAACTTTTGTCTGCTAGCTGTAAAAAGGAATAAATCATCATATATAATGTAAAGGTGGAGGTGAATACCTCGAAAGCCAAAATTAAACTATTAGTAGTAGTAAGGCAATAACAAGCAGATTACCCTTTCAGGGGATGATTCCATCATTTCAACTCAAATATGCATGAAGAATTATCCCCTAAAACAATGGCAAAGATTTATGATAACATTTGAACAGTGGTCCACATCTTGAAATATTTACATTCAATCATTTGCCTAGAGTACAGCAGTGTTTTACAATACATTTTTTACACAATGTCACCTTGTCAAATATAAAATGCCAATATAAAATTAAAAATTTGCACCAGTCTTTTGAAATGGTTTAAATATAAAGACAATTCCATTATGTTCCCCTTAGATATACAGCTTTTCCTTGGCCATTGCATGGATGGTACTTCCACTTACTTCAGAGCCATTTGGTTTTTTGAGCGTAACAACCAGAACAATCAAGTTTCTTCTTGACTCTAATACCAAAAACCTGCCACTTGTGGTTTGTGAAAGTTGAATGTTTGTGGGGCTTCCAGCTTCAGCATATTTTCAACTGCCAAGATACGAACTTCCCTTTCCCCCATCCTCCACCAGCTTTCAAGACTGACCTTTCCCAGAGGGCAGGTGAAGGTTTCAGCTATATGCCCTGACTAATTCTAACCTGTCACTGACAGGTGGGCACCAGGGAATTCCTTGCTCCATCTGAGGCTTTCAATTTACAGAAAGAAAAAACAATAAAAGTTCTGGTTCTATTAGGAAGGAGGGAAGGACCTGCACCCACCATGCAACTCTGACACTTAAGGTTTTAAATCACAAAGAAATTACAATTCAATAGTGGGCTTACACTAATCTCCACCTCCCATCTTGCAGCTTCACCTTACAGCACAAGTTTATATTCACTCTTCCAGCACAAACAATTCCTGGAATTTCCACCCCATTTCTTTGTCTGTCTCTCTGTCCCTCCTTTAGCATCTCTCGAGTCACAGTGAATTGCCATTCCATTTTTTCATTCCATCCCCTCACCCCTTTGCAAATGCTCCCACTGCAACCCTTAGACCAGTGAGGTCTGAAGGTGGTAAATCTGTGACTTTGGACCATGCTGGCAAAAGAACCATATATCTATGCATGCATTTCCAGCAAAGAACTGAACTGTATTTTGTTTCTCCAATTCCCGAGTCCAAAGCAGCAGGAAACTGCTCTATGCTGACAACTGCACTAGTTAAATGGGCAGTGGTGGAAATGAAGAAGGGTTGTCACCAGTCCCAAACAAGTTGGGCACGACTGACCAGATCTACTGACATGTATCACTGTTCAACTGCTTCTGCATATTTAAGGGACTTTGCATATTTTGGTGTTGACGGTTCAGTGGTGGGAAAGATTCACAGAAAAATCTGTCAGTTCCTTCACAGAACCCCCACTAGACCATTTTTAAATTCAGATCAGCCTAAACTGCACCATTTTGTGACATGCCACTCAGTGCTTTGTAGAAATGAAATGACAAGGTAGTAGCTTTACATTTAGAACAGGAGTGTTCACTTAGTAAGATACTGTTTTTCCCTAAAAGAAGCTGGCTGGATTAGAACTCTATGGAGGCAAAGACCCCACTCCCCCAGCTCTGCATTACCTCTACCCAATTACAGAATCACACAGAATCACAGAATTACCAAGGCTGGAAAAGACCCTTATGATCATGAAGTCCAGCCTATGACCTAATACCACAACATTGGCTGGACCATGGCACTAAGTGCCACATTCAGCCTTTCCTTGAACACATCCAGGGATGGTGCCTCCACCACTTCCCTGGGAAACCCATTCTAAGGTCTCATCACCCTCTCCATGAGGAAGTACTTCTAACACCCAATCTAAACCACCCGGGAGCAGCTTTAGGCTATGCCCTTTTGTCTTGTTGCTAGTGCCCTGGAAAAAGAGCCCATTGAAGGTGGTTACAATTAAACAAGCATCCACATATACAACAAATTTTTACTTATTCCCTCCTTCAGTTAAAGAAACTCACATTTTAGTTTAAAATACTGAAGGAGCCACTATAGCACAGCAGAGCACAAGCAAAGACCCTTCCTTGCTTCCCAGGGCGATTCAAAAGTATTTATTTTGCCTTTCTCTTAACAGACCTATTCAGGAACAGACCTTACACTGCTTAACAAAGGGTATAAAAATTATAAAAATATACAATATAGCTTAACAGTCAAGTGAGAGAGGTGGGGAAAAATGCTTATGTAAAACATGGAACATTTTCTGAGGTCTGCTGTAACAGACACTTTGACATAAAAATTAAACATGTTTACATTTATATGCATACCTGGCAATTCCTTTTTAATGGAAGAATGGTGTAATATGTTTATTTAATGCAAATAGCATTAGTGACAGCCTGAGACTTGCTTATGAGCAAGAAGCACTGTATTCTCAAGTGCAACTTTTATAACAACTGTCCTCAGGTTAAAAAAAGAAAAAAAAAAAGACAGTATGTTGTTCAAAGCCAAACAGCATCACTAATATGTTAATTGTTGTAGGGGGATGTGCTTGGGAACTTTGGTTTTCAGAAATGGAGCATCTGACATGCTGCCTACAAACAGTTACCTCTGCAGTTAAGTACCAGAACAGTAGTTGCTTTCTGTTCCTGCTTTGAGACTTGCATGCATTTACTTCCCAAATCCTCAAGGATATGGGTTTTTAAGACCTCCACATTACAACACACGTATTTAAACCAATTACTCCAGCCAAGAGCATGATAGAGGTGTTTTAGTGACTGATTTGGCAGGTCAGCAGACAGCTTGGAAGACATGCATATTTTGGTTGAAGAAGCCAGAACCCTCTCCATCTCCCCAAACCAAACTACTCTCTTAAGAGATCTCCTTTCCCCTTCAGATGTACAGTGAGCTGTGCCACAGCCAAAAACTCATGGTTCAAGGATAATAGAATGTAGTACAGCTACATGAAAGTAAATTAAAATTCAGTCTGACACTATAGAATCTGCTTGGGATGTGTAACAGGCCCTGCTCCACAACAGAACAAGTTTCTTCAGTTGTTCCTTCTCATCTATAATTTCTACAAATTCAGCTTTAGGGTTTTGTTTTCAGACATCAGTGACCACTGACTGTAGAAGGTCTGTCTAGTCGAGCCCTTAACTCATATCAACTCAGTTTAAAACTAGACATCTCATACAAACATTTCTCTTTGTGGACAGCAAGCAGTAGCAGCAAATAGTTTTCACGTATAACCATTTATGGAAGAGTGGAGCTGCAGGGATGCTATGGAATCTGACTCTACAGTTCTAATCATCTAATGGCCCAGACTAGGGACTGCCCTCTATCTCAGATACATGAGCATGATCCACTCTACAAAGGAAACTAAGGGTAAGAAGCAGTAAATGAAAATGTACAGTCAGAGCTTGTCACAGTTCGAGATCAGGACAATGTAAGTGCATGACCAAAACCGGTCCCATCACTTAGAAACACATTTCCACTTGGTTCTGCAGTTAGATGGAAAGAAAAGAGGTAGAAAATTCAAGAACAAACCAGCTGAAAGCCCTACTAGTTTCTACAGCCCTTCTGTGATATAATGTAGCAGATGCAGCTGGATGAGAACAAGTTTTGCTATCATCCTCTACATCAACTATGAAGGGTGATCTGCAGCAACATCTTGACAATATCCCAGGTTATATACAATTGCCTTACAAGTGTGTCATATTTGCACAGGCATTTTTAAAAAGAAAAAACAGTTACTGTCAGATGGGGGTCTTAATCTAGCAAGCAAGCAAGAAAACAAACAAACAAAAGTCAAGAGCTATACATCAAGCATGTTGCTCTATTTAAGATCTGAAAACAGAAAATAAATGAATTGGTAATGCAATTTGGTTCCACTGAAGAAAATGTCCTGGACATAGTCTGCTACTGCTTTCCATTTGGTAGACTAGGCTGTCTGACAGAAGTGTACAATGGTTCCTTCTTATAGGAAGTAGTAGAAGCACTTGCTATAGCTGATTTTCTAAGCTTGTAAAATAACAAGTTATTTTCAATATAAGCAAATACTGGATAGTAAATCCCCTTCATCACACAGTTGACAAGAATACAAATCAATCTGATGATATATGGCCTTCCTAATGAAATTTCTCCTGAGCATGAGGGAAATCCACTTCCATCATATCACCAAGGCTAAGCACCATGACCAAGGCTAAGCTTCACTGTTTGTTGGATGACTGCAGAGAAGCAGGATTTGAATGGAGGAACAGGCAAGGTACATTATTTGAAATAAGCTTCTCTTTTGACTTTGTGAATTTGGTGAATTCAGACAATCATGCAAAGCCCCTCCAAGCATTTTGGCATCGTTCAGTGAAACAGCACTGGTCTTCCACACAGGAAAGCCAGATTATGCTCAAAGTTGGTGAATAGCATAAACCAGATAAGATTACTTCAGAATTACTACCAGAAAACCCACAGAACCAAGCAGTGAGATCTGAATGTCCTGACCCATCTGCTTAAGGTTTAGATCTTCATGCTTGGAGTGGGTGCTTTCTCAGGGTTTAATGCTATGACTCAAAAACTCAAAAGTTGTTTTGAAGGCTACTAAAAATAGCATTTTCTCTTATTTACTTCTAAGGCCACACTGCAGCCATCTTAGAACAGTGCTCATCTTCAGTGACAGCAGGCTTATAGGGAGGTGAGAAAGAAGCCCAGTTTCCTATCAAGGAAGACAGCAACATTCTTACCCTTTGCACCCTGGACACAGGTTCCGAGAAGTCTATTTGTAAGCTCAGAGAGATGCAGACTGGATTAAATCAGTGGAAACATTCAAATTAGATAAAAAAAACCTGAATGTTGTACAGATTGACCTAAAAAGTCAACAGTCTTAGACTTCAATGTGCAGATACCTGTAGTCACAAATCTAGACAAGATAAGCAGTAAAACTGAAGAAACGGGGAAAAAAAAAGTCCCAAAACAACTCACAAAACCAGAGAAAAGAGATAATGTAACTATTTTCTGCATGTTACAGATAGTTTTTCAGACTGGGATTTTAACCGGCAGAAGAAATTAAATATTTAGGGAAAAGACTCCTAGGAAGCCTAGAAGTCTGGTTCAAGCTAATTTGAATCTAACCATTCATAAAATACACTACACCCTGGAGTAGATGGACTTGCTAGTTATTTTCCTTCAGGTAGAAAGCAAGCATCCCTTTGCCAAAAATGCTTTTAGATCCATTGTGCTGTGCCAATAGATCTAATAGTTTTCTATTTTAAATCAAGCTGGAAGTAACAGGGCTCTATCATCCTGAAAAACTTAGGCTTTATAAGTTTTCCTGTTCTGCATCAGGAAAATGGAAGTGACTGAAAATTCCTCAGGAAAAAGAAAAAACAAAGAGCAAGCAAGAACCACCAAACCCTCAGTCTGATTTGCCTGAGAAACAGAAGTCCAGCACAGGTCTTTGGTAAGAATCAGAGCAATACAATTACCTCTATATGCTTTTTAGCCCTATGTTCCATCTATATAATGGTATATTATTCTGGGGATGGATGGTCTACTCTCCAAAATGTTTCAGGAAAAAAATTAATCTCATCAATCAGCATTGTCAATTAAAAAATTGTGTAAAAATCTCTGTCATGGCTGCAATGTCAATTTTATTGACATACATGGCATTTTTTCAGCAGGTTTTAATGGATATGGACAAAGAAAAAACTCGAGACTATGATAAAAGTTTTTTATTGATCACTGGAGAAGGCTAGTTATGTTTTTCCTGTTATGTCAGAGGAAGACTCTGTTTCATCCACCTGCTAACAGTGTTTCCTTTGCTATAAAACAAAGCTTGATAAAATAATGTACGTTGTGATGTTCAGCTCTAGTGTCATTATGCACAAAATAAACTATGCTTGAGATAAGGTGACTGAATACTGACAAAGCTTTTAAAAAATCATTTGATACACATTTTAGTTAGTTATCTAGCTACTTGTTTGAATCCATACATGACAATCTGAAACTAAGAAATATATGACAAATGAAACAATGATGGTGATGCTAAATTACATAGATTCTATCTAGCAGCTATTTTAAATTCCACTAGAGAGCCATTCAGAAACTTTTTCCAAAAATTACCTTCTGAACAATTCTGAATAAAATACACTGAAACCACTGTACTGGCAAATCAGTGTACCTGCATAGAAAAGTTTAATTATAATGTCATTGTCAGCCTCTGATGTTTATGCCTTCAATTCTGATTTCATAAGTAAAGTAAGAAAACAGTTACTGCAACCCCTGCTTAGTGTGTGAAGCCTAGCTGAAAGACCATTTAGATATTATCAAAGTTTGCCATCAGAACTGGAAGAACATTCAGATGTTAAGTCTGCTCTAGATATTAACCAGACAAATGACTGCAAGGGTATAAGCTAATTTGCAAAATCTGCTAACAACATTAAGATGGGAGAGACTTCCTACCACTTGAAGGATGTGACTGGAGTTCAAAAGAATTGTTTTAAGCTTGACATGTGCATTAAAATATCAACCTGAAGATAAGGTCCCACACTTTGGAAGGCAACATTAGTAGCACAGATGCAAAATGAAGTACAAAGGTAACTTTCTAGGCAACTATTTAGTAAACCTGGTACTGGCCCTTCACGCTGAAAGTGTCAGCTACAAGAAGGCAACAAAAAGGATAGTGCAAGATATTATTAGAAGATGATGTAAGACAGAAGTTTTTCTGCACTACCGAGGCTTCAAGTGGAATCTAAGACCCAGTTTCAAGCATTAACACTTCAGAAAAATCACAGACACCAAAGAGCCCTGAGAGTACAGCAAAACCAAGCACATTAGAAATTTACCTTTTGTCTTAAGTCACATTATCTAGAAGAATTGGACAAACTCAGTTTAGAAGACATGACTAGGGCTGAATGGGTATAGGTAGGGTGAATCAAAATCACTAAGTTTAAGAAGCGGAATGGTTTCTTCCAGGACACATTTTTCCTTGAGTATACTTAAATTATTGTAATGCACTACTGGATTCAAAGTAAAACCAAAGCTGAAGATAACACAAGCAGGGTACAGACATGCAACTGTCCAGACCCCGGAAGAGTCTGAACTGTTGTTCCTGGCCCAGTTTACGCCTGATTCAACACATGTGCTCAATTCTCATGCACAATCCTAGAGTTAGCATGTACCAAATCTCACTTCTAACAGACAGATAGGACGGGGCTATTTGTTCTAGAGAAAAAGAAACAACAAGCCCAAACAAAAAAGCCATTTAGTAGTGTAGTCATAGACAGGCCAATCTATCTGGCATCTGGGCTGCAAAACAGACCTTGATACCGTCTCATTTCTAATAACATTTGGCTATATCTGTGCTTATAAAGAAGAAATTGACTGGCTATTGTTTTAGGCCACACTGGCAAAAAAAGGGAAAATGATCAGTTTATAACAAAGACTAGTTCTTCATACAATCTCCCCTTTCCCACTCCCGGTATCTAATTTTTCTGACCAACAGGATGGTAAAAGCATGCACAAGCTAGAAGAAATGGAAAATCTCTCCACTGTGAAGTTTACCTGACGTAAGCAAAATCAAGTTAGATGGTGTGGTCCCTTCCAGCTCTTATTTTAGTTACATCTATTTACTCTTCAAGTTTAGCCATCCTTGCCAACTCACTCTTGAATCTTATGGGAAAAAGATATTCCATACCATTAAAGGCCTCTCCACTGCCAAGACCTTACACAGGGCTCTATCTCCCTTATTAGGAGACTTCAGGGCAGAATGTACTTCTATGCATTTAACAGCATAGCAGAAGGGTCATGCATCTTCTTTCCTGTGGTTTTGAGTGACAAGCAGCCTGGCAAACTCTCTACAAGGATGAATTTAATCTTCCAGCAAGTAAGCTGTGAAATAGAACAAAATCCAGAGAGCTCTCTTCACACACTACACGGGTACCCCTCAACCCTGTTCCTCAAAAGCATCATATAAACCTCTGTCCAATGCTGCTCTTAGCTTTTTAAGTTCAAAACCAGTGAGAGTAAAAAGGTAGAAAATCAATGAAAGAAAGGAACAGAACTTTAAAATATGAACATGTTGCCTCACAAAGTACTTCCAAGCAGAGGTACCTTAGCATACAGCTGTAATCAGTACGGTAAAGTTTCTGCTTTTTGAGTTCATTGTCATTGATGTTTTTAACTATTTGAAGACAGAGTATTAAACACAGGTGTCAGTTTTGGGAATGATGTTCTCAAGCTGCAGAAGCTTGACTCTACGTATCTTGTCGAGACACAAAGCTATCTAGGACCTTCTTTGGATAGGGAGTCTAAGTCCACAGAACAAACCCTGAAAGCAGCAAAAGGAAGAATAAAACAAAACAACCAACCAGAACTTCTGCACTCAGTAACAGACCTACTTTCACCATATACCAGATTTAGAAATTTCCCCATAACAAAGATAAGTTAACTGCAGCAATCAACTAATAAATCCAGTCCTTCAATGTTGACCAGATAATGCAAGGAACTGCATTTGTAGTCATATCACATCCCTTTACTGTATACTTGCTGCTGTTCTGTAAGTTCCATTTGTCACCCCAGTCTATGAGGATAAAAATTCCAAAGTCTACCTGGAGATACATATGCAACACCATGCACACCACCACAGTTTTAGATTAAAGTCCTATAACAGTTAAACAGTCTATAAATAAAATATGGTAGCTTTTAAAATATTCACTTACTTTTGGGGTGATCTACTATCAACTTCAGCTTTTAGTCGCAAATTTTCTCTTAAAAGGCTACTGTTCTCCACGCTCAGTTTCTTATTTGCCTAAGGAAAAAGAAAAAGTAAGTATACAGTAAAACAGAAATTATTTCTAATATTTATAGCTTTCTCCTTTTTAAAGAGACAGAACTAGAAATGTGAAGGCAGGTAATAGCCTTCAGATAGGGACACCACTTAAAAAATCACTATGGGAAATGGCTTGCAAAACTGAATAGCGAACAAGACATTTTTTATTTATATTCCCAAAATACATCACAAGTGTCCTATCTAGGGAAATAAACACAGCTATGTTATTTAGCACAGAAAGTCATTAAGGAAATGTACTAATGGCAATTCCATGTTGTTTTTTTTTCCACATGACTAAATACGTTAAGTACATTAACATTACAATGTGCAGGTATCAGCAAAACTAATGTTGAACAGCTTCCTCTATTCCAATTTCGAGTAAGATTACTTTGGTTTTTTGGCTTGTTGTTTTTAAAGCACAGTTATCCTATGGATGTAAATCCATTATGACAAGCTATCTGCAGTCTTTCTTTCCTTTCTTTCAGGATGTTGTGATTAAGACTCCCGACTCTCAATCCTTCTGACTCCTTGAATTGAGGTCAATTCCTTCTTCTCAGTTCAGCAGACAACCTTGTTAACAAGATACTTCATATAAAGAGAAGTTTTCCTGCTGCCGTGTTTCAGAACAATGAATGCCACCTTCCTAACAAGTAGAAAACACTATTTTCACTTCACAGACTGCTCAATCTCTGTATGCTGAAAACTGCACTACCAGTCCAGGGCCCATTTATAGACTCAATTAGTTGATGCTTCCACTGTATTATAAAATTACGATCTAGAGTTAGATCCAAAGAAGGAGCTTTGCAACTGGGCTCAAGTGTGAAATATACTTTTTCAGAAGCATCGAGGAGTGAAAGAAGAGAGGCAGAAAACTCTAAATGCATATACAAATATTCCCAGTAACTTCACCAAATGAGGCAGACACGCGGGGATATGAGGAATGGAGCAAAAAACCCCCAAAATGAACACCATCCTCACCCACCCTTCTTCCCCTGAGACACCACAATATTCATAGAGGCAGAAAAAGTAATCAGACACTTCAAGTAAAGAAGGAATAGGAAGGGTGAGCCCAGGGCTTGGGTGCCTGAGTGTCAACTACTGGTGTTTAAAAAATCAAAGTACAAAAAACTGCCCTGAAAGCAATGAGCAAGAATGAAGGACACCTTATTTCCAAAGGAAAACCAAACCATTTAACACCATAGCCAAGCCCTTTCTCTCTTTTCAGAGGCACAGCTCCACCAGCCACACAATCATACAGGACACTGTTATGACTTGTGTAGAGTTAGTAGGCAGGGTATCCACCTGGCACATGGCACAGCAGGACTGAACCTCTTCAGTGTCCTTCTTCCAGAGAGTGCTCTGTTCTCCATGACAGTAATCTGTGAGGGATCCTCACTTGCAGCACACAGGCTAGATTAATGAGCTCATGTAACCACATTATTAATGAGTGCACTGCGTCTCATATTTCTACTGCTGGGTTTGTATCACCACTCCCACATTCGTTACGATGCCACTCAAAGTAGCAATGCCCACTTTGGGAGTCTCTGCTCTAGGACATTAAATGATACAGGTGGATGCTATTTCCTGGCTTAGGCTGGTTTTAATAGAAAGTCATGGTAACCATATTTTCTGAGGGACCCTGTCTCACTGGGAAGTCATGGGTGGTTGAAACTCCTGGTCAGCTACATTAGGAGATAAAAAAGTTTCTGGTTCCACACTGAGTGTACACGGGAAAGCAGTCTTGTTGTTCAGACTGTGGTTGGGTCAGCACATACTTGGAAGTGAAACAAGTTCTAAAAGAAAACCCATGTGATTTCAGGTACTTCTGGAATTGTAGCATTGTTGAACAGGAAACAGACAGGAAGAGAGTGTTGGACTCAGTAATCTTAAAGGTTTTTTCCAACCTAAATGTTTCTATAATCACAATTTTAGACTTGGTCTCTAAAACCCATCTGAGCCTCTATTAATATCTAACCCTTAATCAAATTCAGAAATTCCATAAACTTAAAACTCTTTTCTTGCTAAGACTGAAATTATATAGAAAAAAAAAATAAATCAAACATGCCCCTCCCTCAGTCCCTGCTACACTCTTCTCTTGCTTACCTAGGGAAA